TTTGGACCTTGAATGAAAATACAACCTTGAAACATACACACTGCAAAGGGGAAAAGCTCTAGCAGACTGCCAAGGTAAACAAAAACCGGAAGTGAACCGAGCAGGGGTGAGTACTTATGGGACTACCATGCCAGAGCTATCAATTGCGCTCTGCACTATCCGAGATTGTCTCACTAGTTTAACTGAGGCAAACTAAACATGGAAAAAAGTCCTCTATTGCTCACACACTAGTTTTGGAAATAAAAGGAACTCATCAAAAGAAAACCCGTCAGACACAAGACTCCGTGACAGCCAGGCTGCCAGCATCCAAATTAAAATTGCACAAAGGTCGAACAAACGTCTGATTTTTTTACAATCATTCCCGCCTTTGACACCAGTTACTGGTTTTACTTCGAGTTGTTTGCCTCGACTCTGATTAGTCCATGTTTCTGAAACTTCTCTCTACTGAGGCGTTTCTGAAACTGCTCTGCATATGAAATTTCTGCTTCATACTGAATCGAAATCACACGCATAAAAACCGACACAAGAAAATTACATAGTTTGTCAAGAAATCTTTCACAAGTGCCATGATTCCAATAACTTATTTTATTCATATCTATTCTATAAGAATGTCCACTTCTAGAGTTTCAAAACTAAAACAACTGTACAGAAGGTAATCTAGGGAAGAAACAACATAATTTACGTTCACGCGGAACAGTTCAAGAGAAATCCAAAAAGCTACTCAAGATTTATCAAACAATTTGTACATGATATAATAACTTCAATGTCCTGATATCTTCAGGTAATCAACTTCTTATATTATTATCATTATTCTCGTTGTATTATGAAAATTATACTTTTATACACAAGACACTGGACAACAGATGTCGGCCCATTAAAATGATTCGGTCAAAACTGTACAACTGAACAACTGAGCTACCTAACATTCAACAAGTGTGTACAAGAGTTTTACAAATTAAAATTGTCTTGCTTTGTAAATATTTTCTACAAGGCTCTTGGTGAAAATGCTCAAAGATTTTTTCGGACCAGTTTCGTTTCATTCGGTCTGAGATGTTCAAACATACATTACAGGCGGCGTCTGCAAACGCAACAATTTCACAACCAAAGAACTGCCTTCGACGAGGGAGATGTTTCTATTTACACCTGCCTCGCAATTAGTTTTCGTTAGAGTACAATCCCTTTCATGGCAGGTGATCGCCTTTGTCGCCATAGCAACTGTATATGGGTCGTCACAAAGCTTCCTTCCTCTAGGTGGTGTTATTGAGAGGGGTGGGGAGGGGGCAACTTTACGTTATATCTCAGAGATTCCTCAAACGTCATCATTTTCACCAAGCGCCGCGCAATTTTTTTTTTCCAAGATGTCACATTGACATAGAAATTAACCTCTTATCTCATTCTTTTTACACCAAGAGAGGAACTGTAAATAACTGACGCCTGATAATCTTATGTGAACATCCCTTTACCGTATTAGAACTTAAGTTGGGGAAGGGCAGACTAAATGGCCTGAAGAGGGATACAGTAAGTACTAAGAAATTGAACTATCTTTGAACACCTCGAGGCCAAATTATAAATAACAGGGCTTAAGGCAGTTAGAAATATGTTTGCAAAAATTCACAGGCTAAACAGCGGTGAAATAAGTGCGAAAGTTAGTTTTTCATACAATTTGCTCTCACTTTTTCTACCACGTTTGTTCCATAGCTAATAGATGATCATAAAAAAAAAAAGATCTTGTTAAAGCCCTTTTAGGAAAAAAAATTGACCGACAAGAACTCGTTCCGCAACATAATGCTACGGCAGATTAAAGCGAGAGATTCACAGATTGAGCCAAAGGCCCTTTCAAGTGGTTATGTATTCTCGAGTAGGTCCGAAGCAACCTTTAAAAGAAAGACATGAAAAATTATAATACGAAAAGTTTCATCTCAGTGAACTAAACAAATATTTCCTGAGTTTCGTCCAGCAGGCAGGCCATTTACAAATCCCCAGTCATTAGATTTAGAAAAAAGAATTTAATCCCCAGTAAATGAGTTTCACCAAAAGCCTTTCTATAAAACACATTGACAGCGAGAATAAATTAAGAATAATTTGTTTTGAACTGTATGAGCACTACGCAACGAAGACGAAGGACTATTTTGAGAAAACAAGATAAAAAGGACAAGCCACGAATACCCTTTTCCCATAAAAACGACAACATTAAAGAATTTTTTTCCGTTTTTAGCTAGAAAACATTCGTCTTGTTTTTATAGCTCAGTGCGCAAACCAAGTGCTCCGTTTTGACCACCAAACTAAGTGTAAGGAATAAACATAGCATTTCTGAATTACCGTCATTTACAAATTCAAATCAGTGTCAAGTCAAAGGAACAGGAACCTACTCCGGTATATCGTCGTTAAATGTCCCAGAGTTTACGATTCTTGCCGGGAGGCAATCGTAAATAGTCTTCACATTTGGAAAGTCGTCAAGTCAGCTTGTCGGAATCAAGTTACGTCACGTTTCTAAGCTAAGGGGCGAAGAACGCGGGATCAGTCATTCAGTCAGCACTTGTTCCCCTGACTTTGCACAAGAATCAACACTAGATTCCAGCCTCACTCGCCACTCGAACGTAAAGCGCCAGTAGCTCGTGGGTCTGAATCTTTTAACTAAGCTACTTCTTTTCAATAACTGCGAGTGTCGTCGAGGAATGTTGGGAACGCTCTTCACTATCTGCCACCGAATTCATGACATTTTACTTTGACTGAAAACTTAAATATCTGTTTGCCATACACTTTGGACGCTTGGGAGAGCTTCGCCTTGTTAGTTTTTCCAACCATGCACTAAACAATTTGAAACTTCGTGAAATCAAACGTAACTTCTTCCAAAGAAAAACATTGTGAACAAGTGGCGCGACTTCGCAGTTAATGAAAAGAAGCGTCATACCTTAATCTACTTAATAGCGAGCTTGAAAGATATCAGCCAATGAGCTCGCAATTCTAATCTCAATATTGCTCCCGAAGCCACTGACCTATAGAAGTGCAGCTTCGGGAACGCCATTGTCATTTATGTTTTGTTCTACCAAAACTAATACATCATTTCATAAGAACAGATTTAGGTATGGGTTGGTCAACGGAAATAAATATAATACTTTATAATTTTCTAGGGATTTTTCCTCGCTGGGAAAAAACGCTATGTACAATTTGTCTTTTTTTTCTTATATATGTAGAAGGTACTCTTTTCTCTCTTGTAATTAAATAGTTATGTAAGGTGCCCCGACTATGGCCTACTTTAACTAACTTAAAGAAAGAAGAGCTTTTACAGTCAACACAAGGTCGCAGATGAAAAATACACTTGACTAAGAAAATCCAGTGTGACGCAAGTTACGCTCTTTGTATGAACCGTTCTTAAAGAAACCTTGCAAAATAAATGGAACGACGAAAAAGGTGCAAATTTAGCGGTGCGTTACAAAATCTTACAGCACCTCATGGTTAAACTAACTTGCGTTACCAGAGTCACGCAATGTGTTGGTCACGCACAAAGTCACTCGATACACAAAGAGGGTAAGGAGATGACTCGCAAAGAAACATACTGATTGCAGTGGCGTTAAAACATTCTATACTGCGTGCGAATGCTACAGTTTTGCAGATAATGCCGACACGCGTTGGACGGCGAAGCGTTTGATCGTATAAAACAAGTGTACAATATTTATAATACGCACATTAGGAGAACGAAGACATCAGGGAGAGCTTACTACCGTGACAACATACTATGATGAGGTGAGAGACGTGCTGGACGAAGAAGGAGGTTCGGACGAAGTGGTAGACGTGGACGCGGGATTTTTCGTTGAAGCGCTGGTAGTTGTGTTACCGGAAGTAGTGTTACCGGAAGTACTGGCGCCCCCGGAGGGAGAACGAGCTGCGGCATCCTGGGAATCAACAAAGGGACTACATGTCAGATTAGGAATGAACCAAGCGCCAATTCCTGCTGGCAGTCTTATCACAAGGCCCAGAGAGGATGGAAAAATTCTACTGTGCAGTATATTTACTTGGAGGATAAAGAGAAGAGTTGAGTTGAGACCGAAGCCAGGAGATTGCGTATACGTGACAGAGGAGTATACAACATTTGTGAAACCAAACCGAGAGTTACTCACAGCGGCTGAGGAAGAAAAGACGACAAGTCATCAACACTGGAAAGGAAACTCAATAGAGCAGAGACACTAATCACTGGAAGGAAGAGGTGTACATAACGCTACTCCAAAACCTGCCAAAAAGTTACTACCATCTACGTTCAACCAAAGTGCTTAACAACCACATTCTGAGGAAGAAGTGTGTCATCTTGAGTTACAACAAAAGGAACGCAATGCTAGTCAGAAACATAGACCCTTACCCAGTCTTCCGCTGCTTTTTTCCAGTATTCGTGATTATCTGTAAGATGTCTGATGGTCTCCGGTACAAAAGCGAAAGCTGTAAAAAAACAAGAGAATCGTATCAACCCTTTCGTTTCCAGAGATACAACACGTGTCAATTAAGGTGATTCTGCTACAACTATCAACTACGGGACCTTGTGTGTTGAAAGCTACTGAGCAGTACCCCCCTGTGCTATTTACAAAATGCGCCAAAGCTGGTTAAAAGCACATCCAGTAATTTGCTCTAACCAATCCGAGAAAACATCGTGTCTACTCAACCAATCAGAGCGCATCCTAAACAAAACGTAACTTAACTTACGCGCGTTTTCCCGCGCTTGGCGCTGAGGGCAACTTCTAGCTTTGAATTCGGATTGGTTCATTATGTTGCTTCTGATTGGCCAGAGGTAAATGCTTCAGTTTTGATTTTACAACAGTAATTACAAAACAAATAAACAAACAAAAACAAAAAGAAAACAAAACACTTACCATCCCAGGCGTCGTAAAGATCGCTTACAAAGTAATCTATGAACCAAACCTAAGAAAGATAACACACACGACAATTAATTCTTCGTAACAAAATAATGACAAGTCATAAAGGTATTTCCTAGTCAGCGGGGGGATGCCGACACGTGTTGACTTGATACCATTAGGTGGTTGAAGAATAGGGCAATTCTTTGATTTGTTTCAACTGATCATAAATTTTTCAACAAAATCTCATACCTGTGACCTTGGAACATTACACGTCTGTTTGTCAAACACAGGCATAACAACCGGTAGACCACGCCTCTTTTCCTCGTCCGTCTGTCAAAAGTAAACACTATTGTAACGCAAAAAGCAACATGAAGTGGAACAAACTACGTCATGATGACGTAACACTCGAGTACGTTTTGATTGGTTACTTAAAGAAGACATGGGAGACCTAAACTACGTGTAAACTCTAGGAGTGTAATTAACAATTATTCCACAAGAGCACGTTGGATAGGAGAATAGGAGATATTAGGTAGCCGACGAGGCGCGTAGCGCCGAGTTGGCCATAATCATCTCATATCCAACAAGCGCGAGTGTCTGAATAACTGTTTTATTAAAAACGCCCCCAAAACTACGCGTACGCTTAACATATTTGTAGAGCATGGTATAATGGCTCATACACCATGATGGTTAAGCCAACGAAAACTCTTGAATTGTATTATCCAATGATCCAGTTCTCACTTAAGTAACATACCTGTGAAAAGTACTCGTCTGCTATCCTGTAGGCCCACTCCTTACACAGATACCGTGGCCGTGCGGGATTGGCGATATCTGCACATTTGATTAACATCCTTTTAATCAGCGTACGGTTTTCTGGTGTGTTAAGGGCTACAGCCGAAGACGCCGTGGAATCTGGTGTACCACGTCCACTATGCTGTTAAAATTAATATTAAAAGTATCACTACTGGGTGTTGGGACAAATATAAACTATACTTAGTGAATAATTATCTGTAGTTAACCCCTTGTCTTTCAGAGTTTAACCCACGTCACCTACACAGGTCCTAGTTTCACGTTTTCAGACAAAACCTCTGCGTGTCATGATTCATTTGTGAGCCGAAAAGCACTATTTAATGTCCACGAACTAAACCCTAGTGACTACTCACCTGAAAGCTATAAAACAGTATGTAACGGCGTTCAGATTTCTACAGTTTATATGCTTTACGTTTCTTACTTTCAGTTTCTTATTATTCCACAAAAAAGACCGCGCGTTCAATAATGGAAGAAAAATATCAGAAAATAAAGGACCGTGAACAATCTTATGAAAATTGAAAAATTCAAATAAAAGGCACTGAACAGTAAGTACTTTCAAGTGATATTGCTTGTTTTACATATTTTGCAAAATAGTACTTGAATATCGTGCCTTTTTAAATACTTTAAAAAGAACCCAAACATATAGAAGCAGTTGAAAACTCTTACCACTGAGTGGACCTCGTCCATACTTGAAGAGCGCCGTTTATTGATAGAGTTGACGAACTTTGAAAGATGCTCAAAGTGTCTCGTCATTTCTGTTGCCATCACCATGTCGATGATCGCTTGACGAATCGTACGAAACTCATCCCTGCCAAATAAATCAACGTATTTTAACGTTTGGTTCAGAAACGAGTGAAGCGAGGGCGAAGAACTGCTTTCACTACAATTTTGCCTTTATCAATCTCCTTAACAGAGAGATTACTAGTCCAAACTCACTCCTACAATGAACTCATGTTCCTACCAATCAGTGCACAGATGTTGCTTTCCCAACCAATCAGGTTGTGACTCGACTGGTAGACGCGCGCTTTTGCCGCGCTTTTCCTCGCACTTTCTCCCGCGGTTGGCACTAAGTGTTTTGCAGTCCGTCCCAGTCCTTCCAAGTTTTAATAATACTGGTTCCTCCTTGGTTTGTTATCTACTCTTTGTTGTTTTTACCTTGTTGATATACTATTTTTGAGTTGGATTTTTAAAATTAATTTACAGGTAATTTTGTGTACCGTAAAAGACGACTCGTCATAAACTCACATATCAAGTCCTTTGAAGATGTTGGACCTTTCATCACGTGCGGTAAGTTTGAAGGCCAGTGCAGCGTGATGACTCTCCAGAACTGCAATGTCGTTGTAGAGAATGGCAAGCTCATTGCCTGCGTTACAAAGAAACGAGTTCGTGTACCCAGGATGGTCTACGTCGTGTACAACAGCTGCTATTAACGAGGCTATTTCATCCAGGGGCTCAAGGACAGCCTAAGCGATAAAGAAACACCAAAATACACTTGTTACAAAGCATCACGAGTAGCGTTCAACGTTAAACCGACTCGCAGATTTCCTCCTAAAACCTGCTCCTAACCGCCAGAAACGAAATCCTTGCCCAGTCTACCGCTGCACGTTAAAAATTAAAGTAAATGTTTGGGAAATGTAGAGAACCTTATGTCCAACAATGCACAGATGTGTGCTTCATAATTGATCAATAAAATCTTCTGCTGTTTATCTTCACTTTGATACTAAAAAAAATGTAGATTGTTAATCAACCTCATATTATTAGGAATCGAACTTCCTGCGTTTCCCTAATAATTTTTTTTATTTACTGGAATTTTTACCGTGTTCGTCCCCCAGCCAAGATGGCGGCAGAAACCGTGGAATGGTCTATAAAATACGTCAGAAACTACGCGCGCGCTAACTGGTCGATGTAGGTGTGTTTGGATGAGAGTATGTAAACATGGTTGTGACGTTTTAGATTCGCGTATATTTTTGGGAAATATTTTATTAATGTAATAGAGTACATTTTCCATGTCTACATAGTCTCATCTAAACACTTGGTAGTTGGGAAAATTCTCCAAACTTATGCAAACCCGAGACGCACATAACTGTCTCGAATTCTCCGAGTCCCCCTTGTGTTTAGATGAGGCTATGTAAACATGGAAAAGTACGCTGTTCTGTAGCTAATAATACACATGAAAAAATCACTCGATTCTGATTGGCTAAGAGCAGTGCAGTTCAAGTGTAACA